AAGGAAAGGAAAGGAAAGAATAATAACAACGATTACTAACCCGTTTGCGTGTTCTGAACTTGGGTTTTTTCATCAACAAATATCCACTTATATATCTTCAGTGTTTTATGCATGCATTAGTCCATACATCACATCATTCAATATCCTGGTTTGGTTTATAACACTTGGTTATGTCATGCGATAATGAACACTCGTAGCAGAATATATCATAAGATAAACGTGCGGTACCTTTCCTTAGCAAAATATAAATCATAGAAACAGGAGTCTTAATTCTGTCCAAGAAAATTCAATGACATACTAAAATAAATTAAAAACTATATCTACCTAGGCTACTAAAAATGTTACTTAATTATGTTACAGAAATGGAAAAAGCTTTTAGAAAAATCTGTAGGAAGAAATTTAAAATATTAATAAATATTCAAACAAACAAACTGTACGAGTAATTCAAAGATCAGTTTATCATTTTAGCGAGAAAATGTAAAGTAATCCAAAGTCGTCGAGTTAAATTACCATGCAATAATCAGGAGTGATAGTACCTTATCATCAATATTCATGGTTCTGAAGAAAGACAGTTAAAATGTTCCCTACATCGATCCATCACATCGGATTAAGTTCTTTTCAGTGAAGTTTATACAGCTGAATTAACTTCATTTCAAACAAATCAGTGAAAGCGTCTGGCATTCTTCCGCGGCACCTCACTTCCACCGATAGCTGTGTTTTTTATTTAGAGCAAATTTTCTTTTTGTTTCTCATTTGCTTTCTTTCTTTACAGCCTTTATTTGAAATTAAGTGGATAGAACGCTTGCATTGTTTTTCCAATGTGCTGTACTGTCGGAAGTATTTTAATTTAGTTTTATTGAGTTTTTTAAAAACAATATTCATTCAGTCAAATTTTTATTGCCCAGAATCTTCCTTGGGTGCCTTTGATGCATTTTCTTACATTTTACTTAGCTTCGCAGCTTTGCTCTGATAAATCAAAGCTCTTACTTAATTCTAGTAATTTTTWTTTATTATTATCATCTATTTACTTTACTTTACTTAATATCATTTTCTTTTTATAAATTCTGATTGCCCCAGAGATCGTCCTTGGGTCCCTTTGATACATTTTTTCTGCTTACCTAGGTTCGCAGCTTTCCTCTGATAAAATAGAAACAATTTGAGTTTTAAATTATATCCCATTTAATTTACTTAATACTATCTTTCTTTTCATAAATTTTCATTGCCCCAGAGATCGTCCTTAGGTCCCTTTGATACATTTTTCTTCTTACTTTTCTCCTCTAATAAATCATAGTCCATGTTTAATTATAGTAATAATTTGTAGTTTTTTTAAAATATCATTTATTCACTTTACTTAATATTATTTTCTTTTTATATAAATCCTCATTGCCTCAAGGACTGTCCTCTGTGTCCTCTGTTTCCGTTTTTATCCCATTTTAATGCTCACTTTATTTCTCAGTTAGTTAATCTCTCAGAAATCAAAGTCCTTACATAGGGCTTAGACTTTTGACTACCTAAGAAATAAAGTTACAAGCCAGAACCATCTTCCCTTTCAACTTTCCCCAATATCTATCGGCTCTACATTTCGTCTCGCTCTAGATTATTTTTTACAGTGAAATTATAAAACTAATTTATTCTAGCTAATAATGTAACTAATTTCCAGCGTCTACGGATTTATTTCCAGCGATTTCTAGCATTTTGTTTTTGCAGAATTTAATCATATGACATGATATGACAGCAGCCAACACAAATGAAAGACAGCCATAAGTTTTGTCTTTCAAGGCTCTCTAGATCTGGAAGAGCATTATTAATGAAGGGATTCCGATCCGTGTTTAAACAAAGTTACCATACCACCATACCATACCATCTTGCCAATCGAGGTCAGATAACACTGTCTACACTCAATTGCAAAATCATTGTCAGGCACGTTCAAAACATGGAACATAGAAACTGAGTCCGAAATGGTACAAGGAAAGTTCACTTTCTTCTGTCCGCTGCAACCGATAAAAAACTTCGAAGCCGTGCAAGATGTCAAACGCAGGTCCTCTGCCGAAATACGCTTCGGAATCTCATATTTAATGCGAAGTGCAAAATGAATAAATAAAGCATTGTACTATTTTTTGGGGGTTCCTATTGATAGCCGTTGTATTATTACTGAAAGTATTCTTCCATCATTAAATAAAGGCATTAGAATACCTAACCATGTTATTTCCCAGAATACCATTCTGTTTCGAAAGCAGTCGACAATGCCGATTATCTAATTGAGTATATCATACACTATTTTACGGCTTTTTGATGCCAATTCTCGCCCTTACGAGGTCTATAAAGTAGTACAGATATCCTGGAACTCTAGCTGTCTGCTAAAAAGCAGGCAGGCGTGGTAGATAGATCAACGAGATGTGTTTGTTTTCATTAAGCTTATGCAAGACTTTTCCGGAGTCCAAAAGTGGCCGCTATTAGTTATTTCAATGACTTTGGTTTACAAAAATTAAATGAAGAAGAAATTCGACTGAGAGCTCGAAGCCGGAGAAGCTTAGGCTTTGATAAACGACCGTTGTCATGGTAACTAAAGAAGCAAGAAAAAATCTAAATGATGATTGAGGAACACAATAAGCACGCGCGCGCAAGACAGAGACTTTGAAGCATAACTTTTAGGCAGTTCAAGGGAAAGATTGATCTAATAGCTGCTTGATGTTATTCTGAAAGGCACGTCTACGTGCTATGAAACACATAAAAAAGATAAAAATTTTGCTGTATTCTCTTAAGGTAAGTTCGTTTTATTAGGATGAGAAATGTTGTCGCTAAAAGAATGTACATTTATTAGTTTTTGTAGTAACAAAGTGGTTTCATTAATAGCAAATATGTTTTTTTTACACTGCGTGTGTTTATTTAAGTTACTGCTTTGACTGCGCCATGACAGTTACGAATTTTAGGTTGTTTGTCTTAAATGCAGAAAAAGAAGAAAATTAAGAATTAAATGAACAGAAAACTATGATATGTATTTGACAAATGACCCTTTGGGTTGTATGGGATTATAAATCTTAAATTCGTAAAATAATTATGTAATTTTAATATATTTTTCACCCTCTCTCTCTCTCTCTCTCTCTCTCTCTCTCTCTTATTCAGAATCTGTTTCAGTTTCTGTTTGTGACTCACTCTTTCCTCTTTCTCCCACTCTCCCATCATTGAGAAAGTAATTGGTAAAGACGCGTCAAAAAACTATTGTTCTTTAAATATTCAAAGTATTCTCCAGTGATCTAGGCGTTGCCTCATTAGATACATGCTGTGTTCAACGCCAATACAAAAAACGTTTGTCTCACTAGGAAACGCGGAGTTTGTGTAGAGCTGCACGATGTTAGTATTGTAATTCTCATTTCCGCAAACAGTTCACAGAGCGATGACGGTTTTTAATCAGGTTTTAAGTCATTGACGACCGTCGTACGATTAAAGTGATGGCTATTACGAGATGCCTTACAATATTCATTTGTTCTAGAATCATAAGTAAAGGTTTCCTAGAATTTCAATTTGCACAATCATGAATTACACTAACGAACCAAGACATCTATCACAATCTAAATGTGCCAACAAAAAATTGCCCAACCAAAGTAGAAGTGACAGGAACTCAATATATAGAAGTTAGGATTATTTATTCGTTCGCGATAGCAGAATATTTGAGATCGGATGTCAGTAATGTTTGAAACGTGTGGGACTTCCATATAGTGAATGTAAACCTCATTTTATTAGGACTTCCTCATTTTTGTTTAAAAAGATTTAAACGACTTTAATCTTCTCGGTATTTCTGACATTTTTGTTCGGTAATTTAATTAAGGTTGACTAAATATGGCAAGCTTAGTTGGTTCGATTTTGATTTATCTAGGTTTTTTTTTTCTTCTTTCTTTCTCTTTTTTTTTTTTCACTTTCCGCGCAAGATACAAGATACAAGATACTCCGAAACAAAACACGCGGATTTAGCAAAAGAAAATGTTTAGCTTGGTCAGGAAGTAGAAAGTATCAAAACAAGTTTTAGTTTTACAACAAAATCATCTTTATATATTATTTTTTAGGAAGCAAAATTAAAAACATAACATAAGCAAGTAGGCAAAGATGACGAATGATCATGCAGACGCACACTGCGCATGCGCCTATCAATATAAACAATTTTCTTGAAACACTCAACACGCAAGTATCTTTCTAGAAAAATTGTAATTAGTGACGTTGATTTAATATTCATAGTAACGTAAATAATTTCAATTCTTTATACATTATTTATATTGCTTTATTGTAATTCCATTTGCATGGTAAATTTAAGATGAAATCATAGGTGTTGGAAGTGCTCGTAATTTGACACATTCGAGAGAGCTTTGCCACGTTCTGATTGAAAATATGGTCATATTCTACAAATTGTCGATCCAAAATCTCTTGTAAATAAAGAAATGAGAACTAGTAAAAGCCTGATAATCCTAGCAACAACAGCAACACAAAAAAGGACCAAAAATAATAATTAATGATAAAATAATATTTTCAAAATCAAAAACAACGACTAAGATCAAGATAACAGATTTAACGATCTGACTATTCTTTCAGTTCAGTGCACTTCACTTAGCAACAGTTAGAGTCCCTCTTGGTCACGACAACTTTTAAATCATGTATGCTGGCACCTCTCTCCCTGCTCTGTCAGTATGGACGACAGGTTGCGAGTGTTGTTGCAACAACAACAAAAAAAAATCTTATACTCATTAATTATTCATGAGCTCTTCGACCAACCAGGGTTTTTTGTTTGTAACACGTGCAGTAGTTTGAAACCCCCATCAAATACGACCGCACCCATTTCAAAGTTCTAGTACTTTGAAATATTTCAAAGTCCTACTTCTCGGACTTTGAAATATTTCAAAGTACGCCTCGGCATTTGAAATTCCACTCGGATTTTGAAAGCCCAATAGAATACAGCAACTCGTATTTGAAACATTACGCATATTTACGCCAAGTTTGCTAATTACAGTTGATTGACATTAAGATATAGAAAAGCGAGTAAAGGTTACCTGAGATGTAGTCAGGTAGCCTAATACAAAAATAGTGAGGAAAATCGTACATGTGGCTTGGGTGTCACGATGAATTGCAAATATGATATTTCAATACCAATAATTTCAGTGACAAATAGGCTAATAAATAAACATATATTGAATATAAAAAAAAGTTAAATGAAAAGCATCATTAGTCATGATAAATCAAGCAAGTGGATTACAAATTATGTGTGTACAGTGTATATAGATGTAAATTAAAGAAAGTAATAAGCTAAAGAAAAAGAGAAAGTAAAAAAGCTTCTTCTGACTAAACTTTATCAAAAAAGCTTTTTTAAAATTTAGTTTATTTTTAAATATTTTTTTGAAGTGCTTGATTCGATATCCCCAACGATAGAATTCCAAATTATTATTAGACTCAAATTGCCAAAATTTTGGCAAGAGAAAAAGAAGAACTAGAAGTTAAACTTAATGAACTTTTGAAACTGGGCGAAAGAAATTGGATAAAGAAGCACGCATATTAACATTTTTTATGAAAATGCTGCTGTTGCTGTTGTTGTTGCTGCTGATGTTCATGTTGATTGATTTTTTCTGCTATTCTTATTGTTGTTGTCGTTATTGTCATGTGATGGTATGGACGCCTGGCTTATACGATCAATGCAATACGTACAAGCAAAATATCTCTCCCTCGGTGCAGAGCCAGACGTTTCCCCCCCTACTTTTTATATCGCTGTTCCATTAAGAATAGATCTGAATTAGACTAGTCTATTTTGGCAAATCTGGAAATCCGAAATCTAAAAGCAACCTGCGCCAAGAATAACTGAATCTAAGCAAGACTGACGCTTCGTAGTCAAACAATAATACTATTAGAACCATGCATCGAATCAATTATCACAAGTGGATACTGACAAACTACCTCAGTAATGCTGGAATCGTCATCGCTATGAAATCGTTTTCTTCCACAGACAAGCATTTTGATTATCAAACAGGTGAGGATAGACTCTCTTTGTGAAAACTTTGCAATTAAAAGAGCCAGAATATTATATATATTTCTATTTTTGGATTGCTGAATGTGACGATGAAGGACCCAAAAGTCATTTTTTTATCAAATGTTTCCGAATTCTTGATAATGTGCATTTGATTACAAGCGTTGTTTGATGTTAAAGACTAGCTAGGGCAAGGCGTAGTCGAGGTCACTTGATGTGTGTATTAATACTAGTGAAGTATGCAGAAAAAGTTTGACATGTGTGTTTGTTTTTCATTAAGAATGTGATTAAAATTTGATGGGGGAAAAACGACGCTTTCTGAAAACTGAGACACATTTTGAGTTGGAAAGTTATGTTGACGATAAAGATGCGTACAAAAATTCCCACTTTGCCACAATCTTCCAGCATTTTCTTGGCAATCACGAACGAATGTTATTGAGTGGTTTAGCAAACAAAAGGGTGCTTGGTTCGCATACGAAACAATAGCATTGCAACAATACCCATATGTTGAAAACACCAAAGGTGGTCTTGACTAACACACCTCACCTCATTTCGATTGGTTAACTCAGTCCCTACCACGGCTGCCACAGAACATCACGTATCCAAAAATGTCTAATAATAAACTCACAAACAGACCTCAAAAAACAACGCTCAATCCATTTGTAATTAGGATTTCCGAACCACCTTTCAACTGCATTGAAGATTAATGCGAAGATAAACTTTCTTAGAAATTTCAACAAATATTGAAATAAGCCGGACTGACTTGATCGATTGACAGTCGGAGCCTCGCCAATGAGCAAGCCCGGATAAGATTAAAAAAACTCTCTGAGCTTCAGAGGGGGGTAGATTATATCAAAACAAGCTAAGTACGATTTAATTGCGAGTGTGATTGTCCATCAGAAATAGGCAAAGCTCACTATCTGAAAAAAGTCAGTTGAGTTGTCTACACAAGAGAAGTTCAAATCCGCCTTGCAATGATTTGCAAATCTCTTTATGTGAGTATGAATATAATGACTTTAGAAATCTGTTTCCAGTGAGCTATCTTTGGATAGATCAACAAGGGTATAGCCTAGAATAATTGACAGAATTGAAAAGGCTTACGAACGAAGCTTTGTCCCATCTCGTATATAGTCCAATGATGTTGTCGGCTATCTGCCAGCGACCCAACTTATTTCTCAAGAAAAAAAATTAAGTCGTCTATAGCTTCATTTCAAGTCCTCAGTTGACTCAAATCTGGTACCACTCCGTCTTGCACCAATTCCTTATCTCAATGCCTCTTTTAATGATTCATATTACTCAAGAGCCTTCTCATTTGTTGGTATCATCAAACATGCTCCATGCAGATAGTCAAACGCGGTAGGTATTTTACGTCGTAGATATTCGACGCCATGGCAAACCTAGTTGTCTCCTGTTCCCCTAGAAAGTGGCACCAGAGGTTCTGCCCAAGGTTTCTGTATTACAAGAGCGCCAGTAAAAGTTTTGCATGTTTTGCTTAAAACTGTCCAAACATAAGCTCTAATTAACGTCTAATCTAAATTGGTCTTCAAGAGGGTCAAATGGAAAAGATTACCGACATCTAGGGATCCACTTGAGTCAGTTTGTGAAATATAATTGTCATTCTGATAGTCATCTCTGTTTTTTGTTTGTCACAATTGCGTATACGATATCGCTATAGCTGTATATCAAAGTATGATAGGCGTTCATATGCTATCAGCGATATTCCTTCACAATTTTTCGTAGTGTGAAGGCTAGATTGGACGTC